CTTTGAAAATCTGGTTGGAGAGGGCGCTGATTCCAGATTTTCAAAGGAGGACCAATCACCTTTATCTCAAACCGGTAAGATAATCGATTCACCATTCAGCGGAAACCTGTTCCTTGTCTCACACTGAACCCAAGAGTTCCGTCCATTCCATGCCCAAGGCTAAACCTCCATATTAAAATGCCGATGGGGTAGAGAGCCTTATACTTTTGAGATAACTTATTTCCTGAGAAGCATTTAGACCAGCAGAATGTTAGGCACTCTCGGCGAACGATCGGTGCTGATTGATGGTATCAGACAGGGTTCATCTAAGCCGCCAGAACATACAAACTTCTCTGTACTAGCTTAGGAGTAGTGAGCGCCTGAAAACTGGTGGTCATCTCAGTATTCTTAGAGGCCTTTCTTTGTTTCTCACCTAGAATACTATGTCCAAGCATGGAGACCGTAACTAGTGGGGGTCATCAAAATACTTGAACAGATATAGTAAACACTGAGGGAGTCGTCATAAACAGTAATCAGTATATACCATAATACAAAATAGTCGAGTCATCTAATCTGAGGGTAAAATATTGGCTAAAATAACCAATATCCCGAGTTATTGAAGTCATTTTGACAAAACAGTTTTATCATCAAGTGTGTGATATAGCACAAAATGGACTCTGTGATCAGATCTCTACTGATGCCCTCGGAGTTTGGTGCTGCACTCGGTGTTATGAACTGCCATCATTCACTCGCAGGATGCTGGTGACAAACTTTCGGTTTCATCAACAGCTATTAGTGAGAAGAGGATTTCGGTGATCCTAAAGTTTTTAAGTCTACCTGATGGGCCAGAACTCCACAATTAGTGTGGAATTAAGTTAGAAGAAAATAAGACGAAAACACCGAAAGGTTTTACACAAGAGTAAAATGGTGGAACGACTCACCAAGGCTAGATCATTGCGATACAGGCCAGATTTTATACGAACCCACTGGTCGGCTTTCACTTCACCAGATTCCTTGACAACTCTGAAGACCTCAGTCATCTCGCTTATTGGAACCAATTGCTGTTTATAAGTTGACAGACGCAGTGCGGAAATTCCCTCAATAGCTTGTTTGACGTGAGTTTGCTTAAATGCTTCCACGTAAATATATCCTTTGAGGCCTTCTTTGGCGAATGCAGACTTGATCTGTAGCGGCGTATCCGAATATTGGTAAGCGATGAATTTGTTCATCAAAGCGAGAATAGTGGCTTTTTCCTCACCCATTTTACATCTCAAAGACCACAAATTGGGATCTTTAATTCCAGGTAGACGTTCCTTTTGGACAATACTATCAGCCATAGCCTCACCATCTCCAAATCTGTCAGCATAATTTCTATTTTCATAACGTTCTTGATAGTAGCGCTCAATCTCTTCTTCGTCTTGTTCCATAAACTCCTTAATCCTCCGGCGTGCATCCAAGTCTCGGGCAGCTGGAGCCGAGTCCAACAGTTCTTCATCTTCCGGACCAATCAGCTCAGCATCGTCTGGATATTCCT